GGGCAGGTAGGAGGGCGGTCTGGGCGCCTGAACCGATTCTTTATTTAAAATGTTTTATTCAATTTATTTAAACTAAAAAAAAAAAGAACAGCAGTTTATCTATTAATCCCACTCCCACCTCCTGCCTCTTATAACCACAAATCTGTTCTCTGTATCTATTAACTTGGTTTTTATCAGGATGGGGGGTGTTGCTTGCCTGTGTTTTTATATTTCATCTAGAAGTGAGATCATACGCTGTTTGTCTTCTTCTGAATTATTAAACTTACCATAAAGCCTTGAGGTCCATCCTTGTTGTTACAAATGGCATGTTTTCATTCTTTTTTATGCTAAAGTATATATATATATATATTTATATAAAACATCTTTATACATTTATCCACCAATGGACACTTAGGTTGTTTCCAAATTTTGACTCTTGTAGATAATGCTGCAGTGAACATAGGGATGCATATGTATATGTTTTCACATTAGTGCTTTGGATTTCTTCAGATAAATACCCAGAAGTGGGATCACTGGGTCATATGGTATTTCTGTTAATTGTCTGAAGAACCTCCATACTGTTTCCACAGTGACTGTGCCAATTTGCAGTCCCACCAACAGTGCATGATGGTTCCCTTTTCTCCACATCCTCACCGACACTCGTCATTTCTTGTCTGTTTTATGATAGCCATTTTAACAGGTGTGAGGTGATATCTCTGTGGTTTTGATTTGTGTTTCCGTGATGATTAATAACCTTGAACGTCTTTTCATATAGCTGTTGGCCATCTGTATGGCTTCTTTGGGAAAATGTCTATTCAGATCTTCTGCCCATTTTTTAATCAGATTGTTGGTGTGTTGTGTGTGTGTGCATGTGCGTGTACGTGTGTGTGTTTTGCTATTCAGTTGTATGAGTTCTTCATATATTTTAATTATTAGCCCCTTATTATATATATGACTTGCAATTATTTTCTCTCATTCAGCTGATTGCCTTTTCATTTTGTTGATATTTATTGGCTTGTTTATTTGTTCTGCTTGTTTATCTCTGCTTTTGTTTCTGGTGTCTGAATCATCACCGACGCCTATGCGCAGTAACGGACTGTATTTTCCTCTACAGGCTGAGTGCTTTCAGGTGCTATGTTCAAGTCTGTAATCTACTTTGACTTAATGTCTGTGTATTATGTAAGACAGTGGACTACTTGTGTTCTTTTGTGTGTAGCTGTCCAGTTTTCCAGACATCATTTTTTAAAAAAATACTTGTTTTATTGATTTCTGGAGAGAGAGGAAGGGAGTGGGGGCAAGAGGGAGAAGCATCGATGTGAGAGCCGGACCTCCACTGGCCGCCTCCTGCAAGGGGACAGAGCCCACAACCCAGGCATGTGCTCTGACCAGGAATCGAACCGGCAACCTATTGGTGCATAGGATGATGCTCAACCAGCTGAGCCACACCAGCCGGGGCCCAACACCTTTTACTGAAGAGACTACTGAGGAGGCCTGGGCATCTGTACTTTTTAAATGCTCTCCTGGTGATGTTAATATTTATCATTTAATTTGACCTTTAATTTTTAAAGTTAAAAAAAAACAAAACCTTTCAATGGGACTGCAAAAAATATATACCTTTACTTTAAAACATGTTGTTTAAAGCTTCTTGAGGCTTGAGGGTGTCTCTTCCTTCCAGCTCTGAGACACACGTATCCAAATGTGATAGGTTGATGAGTTCAGATTGAGATAGAACAACGTCAGTGTTTGATTCCCAGAGATAATTGATCTCATTGGCAGGAATTATTATAATCTTATTGGAGCTGATGGCTAAGAGAATGCTGCTAATTTCCCCGATTCTGGTGCATTATGTCCAGTCAGCTGGTTACCTTGTAGACAGACTAAACATATGTTTACGGCAGGCACCAAAATATTTGTTTGGAAGTATTGGTGTTCCTTCTGTTTATCCTATCTACGGGAGATGGGGAGGTGCTCCCAGACTGGCTGGGGTGTAACCATTGCTTCCCACCCTCTTTCCTCCCACCCCTGGCCCCAGTCAGGTGTCAGCATCCGTTGATTAGAAAGTCACAGTACCCCAGGAGGGAGCTTGTGCCTGGCCCGGAGGGTTTAACACTGTGAACTAGATGGAGAACAATGTGCTCATTGTTCTTTGTTTGCGGAGCAAGGTCTGGTGCCAGCACAGAGCTGGCTCTGAGAATCCACCAGAGCGGGTGAGCAGGCGGTGGGACCCGGCACTGAGGGCCCTGCGGCCTGCCAGGGAGGGGGTGGTGGTGGGCACACGGCAGGTGCATGCTAGATGGATTAGAAATGTTGCTGAACTTATAGGTTCAGAGTTTCTCTAATTAGAGCAAGGGACAGAAAGTGGCTCAAGAGTCAGGCCAGTAACAATCAAATTAAAATGCTCAACTCCAGGAAGAGGACATGTGCAGACGCTCCCCAGAGGAGTCCTGCCCAGATGCCAGAACTCTTCTTGGCCTCCAGGATGCTTGACCTGCTCTCTGAAGGGATTGGGGAGCAGAAAAATGACCAAACTGAGTTCGGTGACACTGGAGTAATCCCTCCTACTGCAGGGCAGCCCCAGGCTGTGAACAAGAGCCCAGGAAGCAGCCTCCATGGAAAGCGAGGCTCTCGGTACAGAACAGGTACAGAACTCGGGCCTTCCTCCTCGATCACCGAAAGGTCTGAGCCGGCGGGGATCTCACCCACACGCAAGGCCAGTGTAGAGCAAAGTGGCTTTACTGCATGCGCCTGGGTGCAGCGGGCTGAGCTGAGACGAGTTCTGGGGTGTCGGTTATCAACCCTACTTGCAGCTTCCGGCAGCTCCTGCTGACGTACTCTGCGTGGCCCATTGTCCGCTTTGCAGCAGGACTGGTCTGGTATCTCGTCCGGCATCTGCTGGGTTATCCATTGCCTTGCGGATAATCCGATAAACCTTATCGTACTCAACAAAAGGCTGAGCAAAGGTCATGCAAGCATCACAAATTCCGCCTTTTGCAAACGTTTACCTTTACCTTTAAAAACATTACTAACTCTATCGCTACACATCGAAAGGGTGAAGACTACATAGCTATGATTTTACTATTGGTCATTCTAATGTATCAATACAGAAGAAATGTAAATATATGCAAAAGAAAACATACCTTTCAAACACACACACACACACACACAACTGCTGTGAAGCTAGTTCTACCGTAATAGCAGTGTAACCACTGCTGGTGGAGGCTGTGGTCCATGTGCTGAATTGTGGATGGCTGTGTGGACCCATCGGCCTCGGGGCTGCATTCTCTGTGCCCAATCTCTAGGGAGGGAAGGGACATTTTTTTACATGCACATTTCTCATTAACATGACTCAAAGCATAGTGATCAGTTGGATCGTATTTTGCCCGTGGAGCCTTCCGAAAGGATAGAGGGAGCAGCTTACATCTCCAGAAAAGTCTTCAGTGCTCTCCTTTGGTTATTTAAAATTCCTAAGGCCACCAAAGCAGGGCTGCGACCTCTCTTCCGCCACTCTGACCAAACGCCACTGATAGTATTTAGGTCCTGTGTTTAGCTCTCCAGAGGCGCCAGGCGGAAGGAGGTCATTCTGGCGGAATCGATCTGTGGACTCTTTCCACTTTGGCTCCAGTCACTTGTCTGCCTCTGACCCTTCACCCTGTTTCCATCTCCCATCACTACGTCACAGCCATGCTGCACGGAAATAGCAAGTCGCCAGGAAAAAGCAAAATCAAAGGCAAAAGAAAACAAAAACAGAACCTAAAGCCTGTGAGTTTGCAGGGACTGACAGTATTGCCCCTCCTCCCATCTTAAAAAGGAGAACACAGGCGTGGGAAGGTTCTGGGGTGCGTCCTGAGCTGGCTTCTGTGCTGCTTGGCCCGCGGGGCGCAGGCTGCTGGTCTTAGGGAGGGAGGGAGGGCGTGGTTAATAAGCTCTTTTCCAACACTCTGTAGCTCAGCATCAAGTCAACCTTGCTTCGGGTCTTGGTCTGACCTTGTTGCTGGTTTATTTATTTATTTACTTTTCCTCACCCGAGGACATTCTTCCAGTTTTTGCTCAGATAGAGTGGGAAGGAGAGAGAGGAAGAGACAGAGAGAGAGAGAAACATCGATGTGAAAGGGACACATCGAGTGGCTGCCCCCCACACGACCCCAAGGGACACATCGAGTTGGCTGCCCCCCGCACGACCCCACCAGGGCTGGGGAGAAACTGCAACCGAGGTATGTGGCCTTAGCGGGAACCGAACCCGGGTATCTCTGGACCGCAGGCCAACGCTCTAACCACTGAGCCAAACTGGCCAGGGCTTGTTTGTTGCTGGTTTTAACAGGGTTTCCCCGATCCTGAATTTATACCCTAGATCTGACCAGTGGGTCCACAATAACGTCAGTTTCTTGGAAACATGCCTACCACATGATCCCCTTAACTTGGTGGGCTGTTCTCGGCCTTTTGCTCTCAGCCCAGGAACAAAGCCTGAGAGTCTACGGCGGACCTCCCCACTACAGGGCTGTGTGCCAAATGAACTCCCTCCTGGCATCTGCAGCTCGGCCCATTTCTTCGGCACCTCCCTCCCCATTGCGAATGGATCCAGCTAACCAGTCACGCCCTAGGGTATGCTAGGGCCCACAAGCAGGGGAGAAAGAGAGGGCATGGCAGTACGCCGTCAGGTACCTGGGCCTCACTAACCGACATCGAGGCAGGACAGGCAGAGAAGCCTGGTTCCGAGCACCTGAGAGCTGGGGACGGAGCTCAGGTCGCGGGGAACCTCTCAGCTATCTCGGGCACGTGCTCTGCAGCTGTGGGGTGCCAGCCACAGAGGTGTGCCAGCTGACCAACAGTGTTGCTGGCGGTGTTTTTCTTCTCCAGGCACCTGGACCCTGCGGTCCATTGCAGGACAGTGGGACTCGCTACGCCAGGACCACTGTGAGATATCAGCTGGGGAGCAACCTCGGAGTGCTTCCAGCCTAACCTTTGCCTTAAGATGAAGACTATATCCTGACAGCAAATAACACAAGGAAACTTTCGCTGTCCTGGGATGCCTGAACACCGGTGAGAATCCCCCAAACATCTGCTCTCTGGACAACAGTGTTAGATGGATTGCGCCAGAGCACTGAGTTATTCCTTAAAGACAGAAGTAGTTATGAGGACGTGAAGAGGGGAGGAAAGAGCTCAGCACGTGCGATGGGAGCCCAGGTGGAGGTTCCAGGCCTGACAGTCAGGGGCTGTGATCTTGGGCTTGGCCCTCTCTGGGCTTCAGCCTCCTGACGTGGCCAGCAGGCGGGATGGGTTCACGTGTCTCCCAAGGTACTTTCCCGCTTTCGCATTCGATGAGTCTGTTTCCCTCCACGGCCGAAACAAGAAAAGCCGCCAAGTTTCATTCTCACAGAAGCCATTCCAGGATGTTATGAAGACCAGGAAATGGCTGATTGATAAGTTTAATCAAGATGATGCACCGCCACCCAGGCATCTGCGTGGTGATATTCTCAGAGTCGGGTTGACAGACCACTAGATCACAAGGTCTTTGCAGAAACCAGCTCTTAACCATTCTTCTTCCCTGGGTTAGCACAGAGTCAGACCCACAGTAGGCCCTCAATAATGTATCGAATGAAAGGATTTTGACTGAGACATCCTGCCTTTCCCACCTAATCCACCACGGAACAAAGAAACGCCCTGTGCGGAGCTGTGGGGGTGTGACATTCGTCTTGTAGAAGAGAAAGTCTCTGTGCTCAACTAATTGCCCCAAGGTCGGGGTGCACCTGTGCCAGCCTGCTAAGTGAATGGACCCAGACACATGGCTCTGCTCAGAGGGAAGGCACTTGGGTGACAAGCCTGCTCCACTACTTAGGAAGTTTCTCCAGTACCCGAGAAGCATGTACAAGTGTGCCCCAGAAAGCCATACAAAGGCGCACACTGTAGCCGGACAGCTTTCTGAGGGCCCCAGGAAAGGAATGCTGTTTCCCTTTTGCTATTTAGAATTAAGCAGGAAATTAAAGCTTCTCGCATGTAAAAGGCAGGGTTGAATTCAGTAAAAGGACCTTTTGGTCTCTAACTTTCTTTAGTCATTCATACACTTAAATAGCCGTAGAAATAACCATTTCATACATTATATACCATTCTTAGGGAAGAAATATTTTTAGGTTCATTCCAGGTGAATTCTAGACTTATTGAGACACCAAAAAAAAAAAAAAAAAAAATATGTGCGTGGTGGGAATGGTGGTTGTTGATGGGTGAGTTAATAGAAGGATAAACTCATGCCCTAGATTATTTTCATGTTTTCTACTTCCTTATTTGCAAAATGACTTCAGCCATTTTCAAATCATGGGCTGCAAAGAAAGGGCTAATAAAATATACATCACAGAGCTCAAAGTGTTGTTGAGTTTTTTATGTTTTAATTGATTTGATAGAGAGAGAGAGAGAGAAAGGGGAAGGGAGAGAGAGAAACATCGATTTGTTGTTCCACTTATGTTGCGTTCATTGGCTGATACTTGTGTGCACCCTGACCGAGCATGGAACCCACAACATTGGCATAGTGGGACAATGCTCTAATCAACTGAGCTACCTGGCCAGGGCTTAAATTTTTAAAGCATGATTTAAGTATATAAAAATAAGTGCTATTTTTTTATAAATATTTTCTTTCTTTTCAAATTTCTATTTATTGATTTTTGAGAGAAAGGAAGGAAGGAACAGAGAGAGAGAGAGAGAGAGAGAGAGAGAAAAAAACAGTGATTTGTTGTTCCACTCATTTGTGCATTCATTGGTTGATTCTTGTATGTGCCCTGACCTGGGTTCAAACCCAAAACCTTAGTGTATCAGGACTATGCTCTACCCAACTGAGCTACCCGGCCAGGGCTCAAGTGCTATTTCTAGTAACTTCACGTTATTCCAGGAAGCGCTGAGGCGGCAAACTACAAACTGAAAGGAAACGTCGGAGAAGAAATCAGTGTTGGAACAAACGCCAACCAAATGCCGTGTGAGGGATCAGTGATGACGCTGCCCATCTCGCCTAGAGGAGGGGCCCTCGTTCCCATACAGCACGAAATACTCAGGTGAGCCAAAAAAGTAAATGTATCTCGTCTTTGACCTGTTCAATACTTTCTCAAAGTACTGTCTCATTTGAGTAGGTCCTGTGTGAACATCGTACAGCTTTTCAGGATGACAAATTTTTCCATTTTACGAAGGACTTGAAGGGATTAACTAGTTTGTAGTCACATAACTGGTTTTGGCAAAATTCACAATTAAGATTTTAAACAACAACAACAACAACAAAAAACGGGCTTCTGAAAAATTGTATATACTCTCCTTTCCTGTAGGCCTTTGAGAAATAAGATAACCATTTACCTAGGGTGCCTTAAATGCACCAGAAAAGTTCTTCCAGAAAATAACTTTAATTAGTAAAAATGTTATTCTTATCATTTTAAGTTTTTACAAAACATTTTACATTATCCACAATTGTGTGGCCTGTACTAACCAAGAGAACTTCTCTTTAAGCAGAGAGTAAGTGAGTCTGGGGTGAGACATGCAAAGCTTGTGTGGAGGACGATTCCTGTCTCTGAGAACAGAGAGGCCCGTTTTTAAACAATGATGTGTGCACGGTAGTAGGTCGGAGGGAACTGCGGTCCACACGAGTTGGGGATCAGGAGACATGCTCACCATCAGCACCTGCAGGGAGCCTGGATTACTTCTGAGTGATGAGAGACCACGGGTAAGGTCTGAGCAGGCGAGGCCGCCGGAAGTGAGTTACTAACTGGGCAGCTCTATCTGGCTGCTGAAAAAGACTAGACATGAAGCCCGGCTGGTGTGGCTCAGTGGCTGAGTGTTGACCCATGTACTCTACCAAGAGGCCGCTGGTCTGATTCTCAGTTGGGGTGCATGGCTGGGTTTTGGGCTTGATCCCTAGTAGGGGGCATGTGTGAGGCAGCCAAGTGATATTTCTCTCTCATTGATGTTTCTATCTCTCTCTCCCTCTCTCCAAAAATCAATAAAATGTATTTTTTTAAAAAATGAAACAAGACTAGACATTACGGGGCAGGAGAGGAAGGAAGGGGCTCAGGAGGTGGATATAGCTGGGTCCCGGGAAGAAGAGCAGGTGGCTTGGGTCTTGCTGGAGGTGGTAAGAACAAACTGGGGGCCGCTTTGCAAGTAGGTGATATTGGGAGGCAGGCTGTGCTGTTATGAAGCCAGAGTTATTTGTATCACAAAGGTGGGTGATGTTAGCAAGTAGTCATGTGACATTGGCCAGAAAGCGTGGGACACCCTGTAAGCAGGTAAGTCATACAGGCAGGTGGACCAGCCCCTTCGAGTAGGCTGTGTTTTGGGATGGACTGTGTCTCCCTTGCAAGTTCATATGTTCAAGTCCTAACCCCCAGTACCTCAGAATGTGACTGTATTTGGAGATAGGGCCTTTAAAGAGGTAATTAGGGTAAAATAGGTCTAATGGGTAGGCCTTAATCGATTATGACTGGTGTCCTTACAGGAAGAGGAGGTTAGGCCACCGACAGACACAAGGGGGAGACCGTGTGCGAGCACAGAGAAATGATGACCAACTACAGGTCAAAAAGAGAGGTTCTCAGAAGAAACTAGCCAAGCTGACACCTTGACCTTGGACTTCTGGCCTTCAGAAACGTAAGAAAATACTTTCCTTTTGTTTAAGCCACCCAGTCGGTGGAACTTGGCCATAGCAGCCCCAGCCAACTAATACAGTTGGGTAACTTCCTTGAGTCTCTGGGAAGTCCTGCCTGAGTGTACACGTAAGTAGCGCCACCTATTTGGAAGACACGGCAGAGTAACATGAAATGCATGAGTTTCTGGGGGGAAATCCGCTAATTGTCGGATGACCCTGTTAAAAATCCAAGGTGACAGTGAAGCAGCTCATTGTCCCAAGAATATCTGAGTGCTGAGATGAATTACATGGAGGGGAGAATGAGAAGACGGGATCCTGGGGAGCAGTGTGGTGACTCCACTGAGTTCCTAGACGCTGAGCCATAACAGGTGGCCCTCGCGAACGTTTGGGCCTGTGGTTGAGAAGCTCCTGAGAGCAGTTGGAAACCACGGTGGGGTCATGTGGGGAGCTAGGTTGCAGTGGCTGGGTGGAGTCAGTACTGGCACCACTACTGTCTACAGCAGCAGTGGTAAGAAGTCAGGACGGCCCTGACCTCTGGGAAGGACCGGGATCGACCTCCTTTGTCACTGAGGTGGTACCTTGGAGCCGAGGGCAGACTTGGATGTCCTCTTCTTGCCATTTAGTTTGCTTCACCGCATTTCTTGCCACCTAATCTGTTTCTGGGTTTGCAGAATCTGTTCAGACCCGAACCAGGTCTGGGCAGGCAGCCACTCCAAACTCTGTGCTCTCGCCTAGAACTATAATTTTGTAACAATCATTTTTTCTGTTTCTTTGCTAACGTTCGTGTTACACTAGAAAGAGTTACCTTTACTCAAAGTTCCCATTTTGCTTGTGTGACGTTAGCTTCAGGGAGCATGAACAATACGATGACTGCCACTGTGTGCTCCTTCTAGAAAAATGACTCTGGGAAACAGAAGCAGCCTTCTGCGTATCTCCGAAAAATTATGCCAATGGAACAAGTATATCTTTTATGTTTAATGGATGTCAGAAAACATCACGATACCTAGGGCTTCTGTTCCTGGAGCAAAGCTATGTGATTATGTCTAACGAAACCAATTCCATAACTGACCCGGATGACCGAGGTTAATAGGCAGACTGCATTCATGACAGGTCAGAAGTAAGAAAGGGCCCGGCCAGATTCGCTCGTGGAAAGGAGGCAGGTATCTTTAGGAATGGAAATCAGCCTAAATCAAATAAGGCAGTTCAAAGCAAATGCGAAGTTAATGGAAATCTTGGGTGTCATTTAAAAAGCCACGCTATATTTTTCAGCCTCCTCTATGATACGCCGATATTGTCTTGTTAGCATGTGTCTCCGCGGTTAGGAAAGATGGGTGCTGAGCCGGGGGTCTGAGCTTTATACTCTAAGAGTATAGCTGTCACTAAGACGCCAGAGGCTTGGAAGCGGCTCCTCAGACAGTTTGGGGCTGGATTCTTCTGTTGGTTAGTGGTTTGTACCTCCGTAAGTTAACTGAGTGTCAAACCTCAAGGCTGGCCTGTGCACTGCTGATCTGGGGCCCCTTGGGTTCCCAGGCTGTCAGAGCTGGAGGGCCCGGCAGAGGCCAGGCGGTTCATCCCTAGCACCCGCCAGACCTCAGTCTGAATACTCCCTCTGCCACTCAGCAGCTGAGCAGTCTTGGGCCAGTGTCTTAACCCACTTGAGCCTCCATTTCTCATCTGAAAAATAGGCCCTCTTACAGCACTGACTTCTTAGGGTTACTGTTGTACCGTAAATGAGATGAGCAAGTGAAGTACATCGTCTGACATGGTAACGATCAGTGACTATTATCACCGTGAAATGTTCCCCAGCCTGAGCAATGTTCAGGGAAGGCTGAGTTCTGGGGAAATGTATGCAAGGTCCGATTTAGTGAAACTTGAATATTCCGGCATCTGGGGCACATGTTACCGCATATGTTTCGGTGCATGATGGCTGATAGAGGGGACGGAAGTGACTGCTATGTAGGTCAGGTGTGCAGTGCAGACAGAAGCTGGGTGGGCGTCAGGAGAAAGTGCCCCCTTCATTTACTGCCCCCGCCCGTGTTGCTGGGTCAGCGCTGACATTTCCATAGACCCTTTGGTGAGTGCCTTCGCCTCTGTGACTTAGGAATAACACAGATACAAACGGCACACTTATTTACAGACCAGTTGTGAAAGCCGAGTAACACCCTTATGTAAAAGCACACTGCAGGCTTTCCAAGTTCAATTATCATCCTCGGCCCCCTTCCTTGACTTAAGCAATTAGTGACTTTAAATTGCCCCATGCCAATACGAGGTTCCTTTCCATTTAGCGCAAAGGGCCCCCATGTTTCACTCAACGACCTCTTTCCATATCAGTGTCCCCACGATGTCCTGTTCTCAGATGCCACGTGAGATTTACTGGATCCAAATCTTTAGGAGAGGGGCTGCAGATATTTCTCACAAAAGCCACAGGTGATTCTGTGATTTTGCAAGTTTGGGAAACAGGGAGCTAATGTATTCGAGGGAGATCGTTAACTCATATATTATTTTATCTGGACTCAACCCAATTAAAACGTCCGGCTTCTTAAATACCTGGAAGCAGCGATTTCCAGCCTGTGAGCGGCGGCACACTGCTGTGCCGCTGTCATCTGTAAAACGTGCAGTCCCTGACTATTTGGTCACTGGCCTCGTTTCCCTTAGAATGTAAATTTAAAAATGTGACAACAGCCGACACACCAGTAGCCGTCCGGTGTGAATGAATCAAAATTATACCCATTTTTTTTTTGTCAGATACGCAAAAATATATTTTTTGGTGCGCCCCAGAATTTTAGTAATTAGTTTATGTGTGCCATAGATTTTTTTTTTTTTTTTTTTTCCTCACCTGAGGACATTTTTCCATTTTTTTGTTCAGACAGAGTGGGAGGGAGAGAGAGGAAGAGAGAGAGAGAGAAACATCGATGTGAAGGGACACATCGAGTGGTTGCCACCCACACGACCAACCAGGGTCGGGGACAAACTGCAACTGAGGTACGTGCCCTTAGCGGGAACCGAACCCAGGTCTCTCTGTACCGCAGGCCGACTCTCTAACCGCTGAGCCAAACCGGCCAGGGCAGATTTTTTTTTTAAAGGTTGAAAACTGCTGCCCTAAAGGAGTTATACTAATTCTGAGGATTTCAAGTAGAACCATAGGGGGGATTTATAGGTTAAGAGAATTCCTTAACTCATACTGTTAGGAAGAATGTTTATTAAATTCTACATACTTTTTTGGAGTTCTAAGAGACATATGAGTATCCTTGTAAAGAAATCTATAGAACGATCAAATGATTAGAAACACCAAATAATAAAAATAAAATGTAAAGTAATTAAACGCATTTAAGTCCAGAAATGAGCCTCTTTAGCAAGAATCTTCATATTTGAGAAGGGACATTATCTTACTTCAGAAATTTTGAATTTCTTTGCTTCCCTTTGCTCGCCCCTTTTGTTAATATCTAGTTGCCTACACTAACAGTTCCTTATGAAGGAACAAGAGGGCAGAGTCAGAAAGAGAGGGAGTAGAAGATGCTACCCTGTTGCTTTTGAAGATAGAGATTGGGGCCACGAGTCAATCTTAGGGGAGGGTTTCAGCAAAATATTCATTAGTTTTCCAGGTGTACTTTTTATTTCTTTTTGTTTACATTTTAACATCTCTGAAATCTGAATGTATCTTAAGCCGACTGGCTACCATTTTTCTTCATGATACATAAAATAATAGGGCTTCTTAACATAGTGTCTTGGATTCAACAAGTACTGACATGAAGCAGAGACAATGACATTTTCCTCCAACTCTACCGACACCTACCAAGTGACCTAGGTGTGCCCTCTTGCCTCCCTCACCTCCGCAAGCCACTCGCTGCCACCCGCCCAGCGCACCCAAGCTGCGGGATCTGAGCCTTCTCGTAGCTCATGGTCAGAATCACCGGCCTGGTTGCTCTTGCTTAGCATTTCTGCTGCTGCCCCGTTGCCCGATTAATTGTTGCACTACCTTTTCGCTTTATGAACATCTTTAGACCCTACAACTAGATGGTAGGCAACTTGAACAAGAAAATGGGCCTCTGTCTCTTGCTTTGCCCCAGGGCCTAACATAAAGTTCCTACCTTGTAACACTGAATAAGTATTGAGGATGATAGACTTAAGTTGGTTGACCATATTCATTCTCATCCAAACCAGAACATTTTTCTAGAATGAAGGGGGGCACTGTGAGTATTTACGTGGTAGGTAGGCACCAGGGAGCACATGATACTGAGAGAGAAAGGGGGGGGTGGTGGGAGTACTCTTTGTTAGCTGGATTATATTATCTCAAGCATGGGAAGGATCAGCAGCTTTTCAAACTAACCAATCAGCTTCCCAGGATTTCCGGCTTGCACTGGGCCCACCCTCTAACCAATCCATTTCCTTTTCCCGGGCTAGACTGACAGGTCCCCGTGGTTGCCATCTTGGCTCTCACTGAGCATGTGCTTACCCCGCTGCCCCCCTGTACTGTTCCATCCCTTCCCGCAGTGATCTTTGGGGGAGGACCAGTGGTTCCCTGAGGAGGTGCCCTGAGGAGTGTGTGCAGCTGTAACTTCCTAGGGAAGCACGCAGGAGTCTGCTCCCTAGTTTATTATGCTTAATGTCGGATTCCCTTTGCTCGCCTCTTTTGTTAATATCTAGTTGCCTACACTAACAGTTCCTTATGAAGGAACAAGAGGGCAGAGTCAGAAAGAGAGGGCGTAGAAGATGCTACCCTGTTGCTTTTGAAGACAGAGATTGGGGCCACGAGTCAAGGAAAGTACCTGGCAAAGACAAGGAAACAGATTCTCCCCAAGAGGCTCCAGAAGGACTGCAGCCCCGTTGCCCATTCCAGCCTTCTGACCTGCAGAACTGTGACATAAACCTTTGTGCTAAGTCACTAAGTTTATGGCAATGTGATCAGAAACTACTAAACCA